ATCTTTATACGTAACTACAGGAGGATTCTGAGTCCTCTGTATCGAAATCCTCAGGTGTAGCGGGTGAGTAATCACAGCTGTGTATATAAAGAAAGATAAATGCCTCTCTTTACACTACAGCCAGCATTGTACATAGACTTTTTGTGAAAGAAACAAAAACATTTAATTTGAGGATATTAACATGAAATGCAATAATAAATACAACAATTCCCCACCAGAAATCAATCAATCCAAGGAAAAATCTGCCACCATGCCAAGGTAAGAGACTGGTTCAGACTTTCACTTTACAACTGATCCATACATTATATACTAAACAACAACCTATTTTGAGCCATCCACAGCAATTCAGCAATCAACAACTTTCCTAAAACATCTGTGTTCTTTGCAACAGAGCCAAATCCTTAACCACCAATCAAAAAGACTCAAGCCCAAGTTCAAACTCTGCCACTACTCCAGTGTCCAGGTACTAGTCTCCCCCCTGACTCTGCCTACTACATAGGTTCTCTTCTAAGATGATATGCATTCAATGAAGATCTATTCCAATCTGAAAGAGATACTTCTTTGTTTGTTGGTGTGTGCTGCATTTCTATTTTCTACTTTGTCTTACTGTCATAAGATTAACTATCAACTGCTTTTATTGTTTCTGCCTGAAACAAAGTGTGTTGCTTCCCCTGGCTAGCTCATGTTTGAGATGAAGATAATGCTTTGTTTTTAACCACATGTTCCCACAGATAACCAGCAGAGCTGTGAGCATGACTGTACAAATAGCTTACTCTGTTGTAATCGCAAAACTGCAAACATTAAGTGAAAGGCACACCAGAGAGCTACACCCAGCCATAGTTTTATGAACTCATTAATATTTGTCAATGCAAATAATTAGTCTGCTTGTCTATGCACTTATTTAACTTAGATATTAAAACTTACTTTATTATTTTAATATATGTATTATACAGGCATTAAAATTGTTTGTACTTTAATGCAAAGTGACACAAAAGCATATAGAACTTTTATACAACTTTCATATTTGCTGAATATTAACAACAAACATGTCAATTTTTTAAAATCTGTATTATTTTAGGCAAAAGGGATCTTAGCTGACTGCCTGTTACAAGAACAGGCTTGGCCAGCACAGACACCTGATGTCTGACAGAACAATTCATTTCAATTGTATAGCACCATATCACAACAACAGTTGCCTCAAGCATGCCATCTGCATCATCCCCACATAATAATAATAATAATAATAATAATAATATAAAAATGTGATATTTTAATAATTAATTTAAAATATTAATATTTTCAGTGTGGTGGCCTCAAACTTGCTTCCATTTAGTTTTAGAGATTTCCACATAAAATTCCAAATTATTAGTGATTATTTGGTTCTGCTTTGAAAAACACATTGAGTGTGACATGCTGCCACTATCCTGCTCAACTGATTCAGTGAGTGTTCCACTTTCTGTAGCATAGCACTCCAAACTAATTTAAAAGAAAGAAACATTATTGGAACATGTAGATGAAGATAAAAGTAAGTGTTTGGCCTAAAATATGACCTCTTTGATTGTGTTTGCTTCAGTGTAATAAAGTATCTTTCTTTTGTAGGATGAAGGTGGTGAAGAAGAACTCAGATGGTACAGGAAATGATAGTGATATGGAAAAATTTAAACAGGTTTGTTCCTCCATCTTTATATAAATACACACCAATATCCTACAACTCCTTAGTAAATAGTATAACTTTCTGTGATGACATAAATCTATTTTAGTTCCTTTAAAACAAGAGAAGCTATTCAGTATGTAAAATATGTGTTCTAAGCCTCTGCTTGTTTTTCCCAGGACTTGCATTATAAAGCCATTTCATCTAAAGAACCTTAAATCATAGTTGCAAAGCTTCTAACATTGTTTCCAGATTTGTACTATTGTACACATAACGTTTTAAGGCTCTTTATTAAAACAAAATGTACTTCTTTTATGCAAAACGTCATACTCTGTCTGCATTTTAAGGAAATCCTTGAAGAAATAAAAAAGGAACTCTACAAAGTAAAGGAAGAAATTATCACAGGTGAGTTCTAACGTATATACTATCCATATGTCAGATGAACCTAGAGGAACTATGTCAGAGGAACCTAGGGCATACATGTAGAAACTACTCATATACAGTATGTTGTGATCTTGTGTTATACCAGAATATTGCTCTGTTTTTCTAGCTCTGATGCAGGAGCTACAAAGGTCACAGCTCAAGGATGAAGACTGAAGAACTGATCAAAAGGGGAAAAAATGGATGCTTATCTTGCAGTGCTCACAGTGTTTTACTTGGCGAAATTATTTTATTTTACATTGTTTAATTTGTTTTCATGCAATGGACTTTAAGGTCTGATCAGTCCTAAGACTATGAACATGAACACATTTTCAAATAAAATATTATTATCATTATTTTTCCCCGATGTCTTGCTTAGTTATGGAAATCAGAATGGAAATCCAATTATTTTCTAGGAGTTGTAAATTTTAGTGTTTCATGTAATATTCATCAACAGACATATGAATGACATGCCCAGGCATTTTTATCAGTGGCAGGTAACAGTAATCTGCTCAGACAGGTTGTTGACACTTTTACCATCAAACAATTTCAAGTTATTGCAAAATTAGTCGTGCACACTACTGGTTTTGTAGCTAAAAGGATATACATTTCAGCACATGCTAACTTACATTCTTGAAAATGGGTTAGAAATTTGACTTTTTAATAGAATAGAATAGAATAGAATAGAATAGAATAGAATAGAATAGAATAGAATAGAACTTTGGGGAGTTCCATTCCAGGAAATTCCAGCAGCTGTTGTTGAATGTCTAAAATTACACAACATTGCGCAAGTGAAGTTATTTACATGTATGTACATTTCAGGGTATACCAGGAAAAACTCCATATGAGAACTATATGAGAACTCCACGTAGAACTATGAGACCTTTCAGATGTGAAAACATTATTTTTGATATTCTTCCATTGTCATCTGATAAAGTACTCTTTAAAAGTACTCAAAAATAAAGCTTATCTTGTTAAAAAATAATAAAAATTGTGACAAGCAAGCAAATTTTGTGTATGATTTTTCATTAAAACTGGGTAAAAACGGAATTTATAATGTTTTTAATATAATGTAGGTCACATACACTTGATTAAAAAAAAATAGAAGTTAATAAAAATTTAAAAAGCTAGGTGGCATTTTATAATATCTACACACTATTAAGCATTAAAGAAGTATTAGTTAAAACTCAATCATAAAGTATTGTTCCTCCTTAGTATGTCATTTATATAGGTGTATACGAATAGTCTTGCTTAGTAAGGCCATATAAAATGTTTAATTTTTTATGTTTTCTGCTTTATCTTTTCTACTTTATAAATCATGGATTAACCATTAGTAAATAAAGTATTAACCCCTAGTGAGCATTGTCTCTTAAGAGGGTCATTGACCCACTATTAGTCAATAATAATGTGCCTCACCACATGTAAGAAGATGTAAAAAAAAAAAAAAAAGGCTGTTGGTCATTATCTGCACAGTCTTGATGCATGCTCAATCATCCAGGTAGTGAAATACCAAAAAGTTGATTCTGTTCATCCTTACATAGTGTCCAGACGAGCAGAATCAACTTTTTAGGATTATCAGCAGAGGTTTCAGGTGAAACCATTTTGAGACCTTGCCCCACCTTATTATGTGACCCATTGAGCTCACAAGATGTGAATGGGGACTCGGGTGCCTGGGAAGGTACCTTAAAACTGCATTGTAGGTGGCAGCCAGTTGGTGTCATAAGCTGCCCCCTCTGTTCAAAGATGGTCAGTTGCTTTCAGAACTGAAGAAACTTCTCAGGTGAGAGGTGAAACATCTTCAAGGAACTTAAAGAAGTCCAGTCAGTTTCTTTCCAAGCAACTTAGATTGTATTTGTCAATATTGTGTCACACATATGGCGCTAACTTGTGGCAACAGGGAACTATCCAGTAGGTTATAATTATTCAATATAAATTAAATTTTAACTGTTGGTTCCACACATGATATACAGCAGTGTGACATATGGTTAGACAATTGCCACCTAGTGGCCACCGATGGTGTTCAGTAGGGTAAATGATGCCAGACCCAGTTAACGTTAACGTACTGAACTGAAAATAACCACATGACTGCGTGAGTGCTTGACCTCAGCACAGTTGACTGAGGCTGGCCTGGACAAGCAGCAGGGTGCAAGGACCCTCTTATTGCTGCTTGCATCTTTAAAATTGTATTTGGTGTTGAATCGCCTAATACAGTGGTAGAAAACTTTAAGCGTTTAGCTTGTGACATATTTTAAATGTTATTGTACTTCCAGTCTCAGTTGAGTCCCTCACTTTCACTTTTATTTTTCTATCAGCTGAGAAGCAACCAAGTAACAGCCAACAGGAAAAAGCTAAAATACACAAACAAACAAACAAAAAACAATTTGGTGACTTTTTACTTCCAATCTCAAATATCCTCTCTGAATTTATAATTATAGCCATATATAACAGAAATAGCCTTTCCCTGAACATAGTCCAGCATTAATTTGATCACACTCCCAGTGGAAAGACTTTAAACAGGCTGAAAAACTGGATTTCATAATGTCACTAACATCATCAAATGAACAACAACTAATTCACTATGTTGGCTAAAATAACATTAAGAGAACATAATTTACAGTGAATTAGGTATTACTGGGTATCTGGGTATGTGTTTGCTCACAGTATTATCCTAGTTAAAAAGCCCTAAATCATTGGTGGCTGATCCACTAACATGTTTTCAGATACAAATTAATTTAATTTATATTTGCTTATAACATACAGACTTATGTTCTGAGTTATTAGCTTTTCAAAAAAGCATCACAAACATTAGTCTTCCAATATCTTCATGGCGCGGCCAGTGTATGTTACTAACTTCCGGGAACAATGGCATAAAAAACAAAACAAAGAACAAGCACACATGCTGCCTGCAGGGGGCGATACTTGCGTAAAGAGATACCACTATGTGACCTAAGCTACGAAGAAGAAACTTCCACGGCGTTTTCCTCGGTGGATGGCCTGTTCTGGAACTAAACTGTGAAAGCTGCATTGAAACGAAATCTGTGTGGGATAAAGTCACTGAGATGTGCGTTAAATTAGGTTTCATAAATAAGTTGTGCAAAATATATGAAGTTAAAAGATTAGCTGACAAACTTTTAACTCATAGCTAGATAGAACTGCTATTTGATAATCGCTATCAGGGCTCTTTCAGCAACCCTACCAGAAGGCATATGATCGCTAACGTAAGATATTTTTTTCTAATAATAAAAATAAAAATGAATTTATTATAGTTCAAGGAATCATTACTAATATTAGAGTTCGGTGTGAAGCCCCATAAAACTCGAGTATGGAAAGCACTACTATGACTGGCTGTAAAATAAGAACCTGATATGTGATAATAAGCTATAAGTAGCAAAGTGACTTTTGACACTACTCAAGTGACAAGTATCGTTGTTTGACGTTCGCTTGTCTGTTAATATAGATTCAGTGTGAATACGTTAAGTTATTAACTGTATATAAATTTCTTTACTTAGCGCTTTTTGTAACGTGTGCTTTCAAACTTCGTTGTATGTTAACAGTAAATTATCTGCTGTGAGTATTTAACTGCAAAACCAACTTAACTGCCCCGCCGAGTGACGAGAAACAATGAGACTAGGATTAGAATGGTATTATGTGTTAGCTGGAATTACTACAAATTGCGAGTTTTGTAGTGTGCTTTCATTTAAAATGTTGCGCGATGTTTGTAAATGTGATACCTGCCGCTGGTATACTTCTGCAACAAAACTAGCGATAAACTCACACACTCACGTTGCAGGAATTGTACAGTAATGTACGTTAACATCCGGCAGACTTATGCATTCATGTCATATGCCAAAACCCCCCTTTTTTTAAATAATACTTAAAATTCCGGATTGGTTTATTAGTGCTGGGCGGCGTATGAGCCAACGCTCATTCTGTGGAGCCTTCACGTTAGCTGCAACGGGCTAAGATATGCCATTTTAAATGTTACTCACCATCACTTCTATAAAGTGGAAGGTTTCGTCCCCTTGACATGTAAGTTTATGTTCCGAGTAAAACAGAGTAATAGTATACATTTACAGAAACTTGTCGAGACAATCATAAATGATTAAACGATTAGCGAATAAATAGACAATGAATATGCAATAATTTCTTATCAAGTTTGAAAATATTGTAATAGCTTATTAAATATTGTGTGGTTTCCATTACTTGAACACAAAGTTTATTTCTTTCGTTCTAGCCATTCTAATATATAGTGGATACAGCATCATCGGTCGGTCTTTTTGATGTTATTCCAACGCCCATCTTTTTCAATATAAATCATTCAGCTTGACAGTGAAGCAAATATGAGACTTTAGGCTTTAAATCTGTAAATTAAGATAAAATTGTTTAATCCTAAAGTTGATAGTCTGTTACAACATCAAGACAGCAAACATTTAACAAATATCTTAAATAAGCTTTTTAAATTTAGTCAATACTCTGACTGCAGTCAGTATTGATGAAATCCAGATACTCTCATCTGGATATTATATTATCAGGTCTTAAATGAGTTTTCTTTCATTTTAAGATTATTATTCTTTAGTCAGCTGTTGACTGAATGTTATTTTTTTTCTTTTTTCTTTTTTTCTATGGAAAATATTTAATGTCAGTGTGTGAATGTGTGTGTGAATGGGTGAATGACTGAATGTAGTGTAAAGCGCTTTGGGGTCCTTAGGGACTGAGTAAAGCGCTATACAAATGCAGGCCATTTACCATTTTGTTGCACTGCTTATTTCATTCAGTAGGTGCTGTTGTCACTGTGACTGAGTCTTAAACATAGTAAGAATCTACTTTTCCTCCTTCTGACTCTCTCTGGGCAGTCCCTTACCATGAATGAAGTCAGTATAGTGAGAGAGGGATGGCTTCACAAAAGAGGTATGGATCATGAAAATTGTTATAAAATTGTGTTATAAGATGGGAAAACTGTTGTCTTCTGTTGTCTGTTGCCAGCTACTTATCGTATAATTGCACTGTTGATTTAATTTGTCATTTTTGATCCAGGTGAATATATCAAAACATGGAGGCCTAGGTATTTTATCCTAAAGAGCGATGGCTCTTTCATCGGTTACAAAGAGAAACCAGATTTAAATGACCAACCTTCCCCACCACTGAACAACTTCTCAGTGGCAGGTTAGTCTTTTAAGATGTTGAAGAGTGGCCGTCCTTTATGTCAGATCCTTTCAGTTTTCAAGACTCCCTGTATGTTTTTTCAGTTCTGGTCCCTTCTAACCACCTTTAAGTAAATATGAATGATAATTGTATTTTTTACAGAATGCCAGTTAATGAAGACTGAAAGACCCAGACCTAATACATTTGTCATCCGTTGTCTGCAGTGGACCACTGTTATTGAACGTACTTTTCATGTAGAAAGCAACGAAGAGAGGTAAAAACCGTAAATCACATTTCTTACTATCCTTGTCAAATCCTGGCATGCACTTTTTGTGTTTTATGTACTGTGATGTGCATTTTCCTGTATCCATTATTCATTAGTTGTCATTTAGAATACTTCGACTCCATCTAATGTTTTTTTTTAATTGACAATTACTAAGTCACGCCAAATTCTCCAGTATTGATGTATATGATACAGTGATTTCATACTCTTCACAGTTTTACGGATTGGATAGCCAAGTGGCAATTTGTGATATTTTTTACATTTCAGAGAGGGGTGGATAAGGGCAATCCAGTATGTAGCGAACAGTCTAAAAATGCAGGAACAGGGGGAAGAGGAACCAATGGATGTTCTCAGCTCACCAAACGAAAGCAGCCTGGTGGAGATGGAGGCAGTTATATCCAAGAGCTGCACCAAAGTGGTGAGAGAATTAGCTGATACAGCTTTGAGCTGATAAAAACTGCTACTTACTGTAAGTCAGGCCAGTTTCAGTTGGTCTCACATAAACTCTATCAGGGAAGCAATGTGTTGTGCAAACAGGAATATCAGTATAGATTTGTGATTTCTTACATCATACAAACATGTAATTGTCTCAGAATTATTATCCTTAGAATTGGAAAGTAAACCCAATGCCAGCATTCATTGGGACTGCAGTGGTAGCAAACAGACATCTTGTAGTGTTCAAGTGTGGGGGAAAGTGGCCCCTTGGCATGTCTGCTTGCTGTATAACCTCAATAAATACTTTCCTGAAAAATTTATGGTTGTATTTGTTAGTTAAGTTAATTTTAAATGTTATTAGAGTAAGAGAGAAATCTAGTCAGTCTATTCAGGTGTTTATTCTTTGTGATTGATAAGTCATAGCCATTTAGTGTAGAGGTCCTCCGTTTCACAGTCAGAGCCACTGCTTGCTCATTACTGGTGTGGTTTCAAACCAAGGCTGAGCTTTTATGTCACAGTGATTAGGTGAATAGTTTTATGTGCAGTCTGCTATTTGCATTAGGACATAAGGAACAAGGATGCAAAGAACGAAACTTTTCATTTCATGTCAAACGAACAGCATAATATATTTTACTTCTAAATGTACGTAACTTTAAAATATTATTTTGTTTAATTAAAAAAAATGTACACACACTTCCACAATGAATGAGTTGTATATTTTACAGACAATGAGTGACTTTGAATATCTGAAGCTGCTTGGAAAGGGTACCTTTGGGAAGGTGATTCTTGTCAAAGAAAAGACAACTGGAGTACATTATGCCATGAAAATACTGCGCAAAATGGTGATAATAGCCAAGGTAAGTGTGTGTATTGACATAATTGATGCAGTTGTAATTGATATATTTCTGCCATTTTGCTGCTGCAAGACTTGTCCTACTTTAACAGATGAATGCTGCGAAATGTGTGTGAAGACAGGAGTGTGGCACAGCATCAACATTGGCTTCCTGTTTTCTAGTATAATGTTTATTGGCTCATTTTGAAAATTAGTGTTTATAGGGCTTGACTAAAATATTTTTGTCATTAGTTATGAAAGACACTGCTCATTGAATTATGATCAGTTCCTGATTGTCAGTGATTTTAATATTCATGTCCATTATGAATCCAGACTCTTGGTCAAAGAATTTATTGATCTTATTGAAACATTCTGACTCAGTCTGTGTCTGGTCCGATTGTGCACATGATAAGTTCTTAAACAGCATCTTTGTTTGCATCAGCTTTCGATGATTCTGTGCTTGTAAATCGAGATTATTACTTTACTCTTAATCTTAACAAATTTATAATTCTATTTAATTTTTGGCCTTTTTTGGATTTTACTTTGATAGGTACAGTGAAGAATTGATAGGAAAGCAAAAGGAAGAAAGGGCTGCGGCTTGGACTTGAACCTGGCCGGCTGCTCTCAGCCATACAGCATGTGGTCGCTTTTTAGCAGTGCTTTAAAATTTCATAAACAGATTAGCTCTGTTGTTAAGACAAGTTTCTTTTAGCTGTGGCTCCTCAGTAAGGTGAAGGCCTACCTTACGGCACATTTCTTTTAGAGAGTAATTCATGCTTTTATTACTACTTGTAAAAACTATTATAACTCTTTATAATTGGCTCTGATCAGTTCTGACTTCGTCACCTACAAGCTGTTCAAAATGTAGCAGGTTGCCTTTTGACAGGAAAGAAATGGTGTGAACACATTACACCTGTACTGGCCTCCTTACACTAGCTTTCAGTTAATTTCAGATCCAGTTTAAAACTGCTTACTTTTCAGTGGTTAGGCAATACCTAACTTAAGAGAACTTTTGAAACCCTGTAATCCTATCAGAGCACTGAGCTATACAAACCACATGTTCAATCCAATAGTTTCAGCAATCTCCCTTCAGAAATTTGCTGCCATTGGTGAACCCTTATATTGATGCTACAGTGCAGCAGAAAAAGTAGCCAAACATGCAGAGGAGTAATTGACTGCACTGAAAAGGGCAAGTTACAATAGTTGCAGGATAGAGCTACACAACCCTTGTCTTAGGATTTCTGAGTGGTCTGCAGTTATCTTGTAGTTACGGCAGTAAAACTAAAGCAGAAAATGCTACTGATAAAACTGAAACGAAGAAAGAAGAAAGATTGAACATAGATATGTTGGCCTATTTGCTTGAGGTATCGACTCAGGAGTGAAAGCACAAACAATAAAACACATTTGTTCAATATTACAGCAATAAAGGTGTTCAGCAGTCCTTTTTTTGTCAGTCCATATACCCAAGTTGTTACAGGTCCTAGTTCTTTTCAGTTTCTTTTGTTCAGGTGTGTGTTGAGTGTATGTCTAGTGGGTATGGGTTTGTTTTTTTAAAATAACTATCAGAGTAATGTTATCTTGTTGAAATCTCACTAGCTTATCTGTCCAGAAGCAATGAAGCTGTCGTCAGCATCACAGCTGCAGATGTTGAATCCTTTCTTGCCATTAGATTGTTTCTAACTCAGAAACCATCAACCTGCACAAGACGCAGAACAACTGTCACCAGCCCTCCAAATTTCTCTTCCCTTCTGGGTCCTGGCATGCTGCTTAAATAGGCTGTGTTGGGCAACCTCCTCTGGCACTGCCCCCTGAACCACTGCACCCACTGTGGTGGAAGCAAAACTGCAAATGTAAGAGGGAATTAATGATAATGTTTATCAAACGTTAAGCATAGTTTGGATTTTCTTTTGTTGCGGGTTCAGTGAATTCCGGTCGGAGAGTGACAAAACCTGCAGCATCAGAATCTGTGATGTGTCGGCTTTCAGCACCATCTTTATACGTGCCATCAGGTGAACAATCTGCGCTTTCTGTTTACATCTTTTTGTGGAATCTGTGTATCTGCTCTCATTTGCTGTTTTAGCTGTTTGGTGGTTCTTGAAATAGTTTTGTGAGCTTTAAGCTGAGATTCTGGCGATTTTGGCAAAATACATTTATATTTAAAAATTGATTCAGGATTTAATGAATCGATATCAATATCAATCTGCTGAAATTTTTTTTTTAAAACCCAACCCTAATACTGACCACCACATAACAATTGTTGTTTTTATTCATCCATCCATACTTTTTCATTAATTCAAATTCAGTGTTGCGGAGGCGGGGGGCTGGAGCTGTCCTAGTGTGAGAGGCAGGGTGCACCCTGAACAGGTCACCAGCCTGTCCAGGGTTAACACATAGAGAAAGACAGCTATTCAAACTCACATTCACAATTTAGAATCACCAATTAACCAATTATGCTGTTTTGCTGTTTCCATTCATTTTTCATTTATCATTATATGGTACCTTACGGTACCATATAAATGCAAAACATGTTGCAGTGAGCACAGAAACTGTGGGAGCTGTTAATGTATGGCGTTATTTTTGTGCCACTATTCTAAGCGCATGTAAAAAAAAAATTTGAGCGCACGTAAAAAAAATTTGCAGGTGCAAAATAAATTTCTCCTCAAAATGCAACACTTACACCTGAGTCCCCATGTTTTAACAGGCAGGCGTGATTGCAGATGCCATGCAGGATCATCCACACGGCATCCGCAGACCACGCCCACCACAATATCTCATATTGACTGTCAAGAACAGTGGTGGATGATGAAGAGAAGCTCTAAAGATGATTTTGTTCTCATTATTATGGCAGAGGGAAATTCCAGCCTTGGGGATATCAGGCCTCTGCGGTTGCTGTGAGAAATAGCATTTGCTGATTGATAATTTGGGCTCGCTGACACGTTGTAGTCATCAAGGTGACAATGAATTCCTCTAAATTAATTGTCTAGAGCAGCGGTCCCCAACCCCCGGGCCTTGGACCGCTACCGGTCCGTGAGTCATTTGGAACCGGGCCGCAAGAGATGAGGCTCAGGTGTGAAATGTAGGGTTTTCAGGGTTTTTATTGGTTTTCAGCATTATTTTGTTATCGTTTTTATCGTTAACTCGGTTTTCCTGGGTTATGAATAAATTTCTTTTTTTTCGGTACCGGTACTAGTTTTATTTTGTTGTATTTATCCGCGACACCTTAAAGGCCGGTCCGTGAAAATAATGTCGGGCATAAACCGGTCCGTGGCGCAAAAAAGGTTGGGGACCGCTGGTCTAGAGTCATATTTTAGGCCATCTGTCTGACAATTGGCACCATTGGGTCTTGCGACAGGACAAAGATACCAAGCACACACGTAAATCTAGAACAAAATAACTCAGAGAAAAGATTCAAGGTGTTGCAGTGGACCATTATCAAGAACTCAACCTGATTGAAATGGTGTGATGGGACCCTCAGAGATCTGTGCATGAATGAATGCCTGCAACTTCAGTGAAGTAAAGCAACATTTTAAATGAAGTTGTGCAAAAAATTATACAGTAAAATATGTCATGTGTTGTTCATTTTAAGGTTGTTTGTCCCAGATTTTAAATTAGTTTAGAACTTGGTGAGGACTAGAGATTTTTTTTCTATATACAGTCGTGATACATAAAACTTGAAAGTAGGTGTTTTTTCTTTTACATAACTCCATAAAAATATGTTCTTATCTAAATATGAGGTAAATGAAAACATCGAGCATCATTTGTGACTTCGTTGTGTCAGCAGTGCGCGCTGTCCTCTGACCATCTTTAGGTAACAAAGTGGCTGAATAAAATTAGACTGTAATATATATCAGCTACATTGTTGTATTTTAGCTTTGATACAAGTTAAGGCATTAAAACAAAGATTATGTCAAACGGACTGTCCTTCTCAGTCTCTGTTTGTTCTTGCTTTAAGTAACGTTTTACTATTTTTAAAAATGTTTTTTGTGTTTGTAATGATAATTGTGTTTGCTGGCAGGATGAAGTGGCCCACACGGTTACAGAGAGCCGAGTGTTACAGAACACCAAACATCCTTTCCTCACGGTGAGAATAATATTAAAAAGTGACCTGACAGTAGATATTTATTGTCATTGGACCAATGAAACATTTAACAACGTCATTAAGGTTCAGTTCCTCTCAGTGCAAAAGAAGACTAAAAATGAAAGAAATAAAATTCCGCTTGATGGTCCCCTACAGTATCTTTGCTCTTCCTAGGATTGTTCTCTTCTGGACAGAGATCTCATTCCTGTTGTTCCTGGGATCTGCTGGAGCTACTTGCCTAGCTTGGGGGTCACTGCACTCAATACTCTGATTACCACTGGGAGCACTGTTACCTTCACCCTCCACATTTTCTTCAGCGTCTCTCTTAGCCCCTGGTATTTCTCCATCTTCTCGTGTTCCTTCTTTCTGATGTTACTGTCATTTGGTAATTCTACATCTATCACTACGGCCATCTTCTTCTGCTTGTCTACCACTACTATATCCAATTGGTTGGCCACCAAGATTTTGTCCGTCTGTATCTGGAAGTCACACAGGATCTTAGCTCGGTCAATCTCCACCACTCTAGGAGGCGTATCCCATTTTGACCTCGGGACTTCCAATCTATACTGGACACAGATGTTTCTTTATACTATGCCAGCCACTTGGTTATGGCATTCCATGTATGCCCTGCCTTGCACCCTGCTGTTATGTGTTGTTGTGCTCAGAGCTTGTTCCTGTGCTGCCATGATTAGTGCCTCTGCTGTCTTTCAGTCCAGCTTTGTCCAAGCCACTGGTAGGATTTCTGGATATCAGCAACTTCCTCTATCTACAGATACATATGGTGATACATACCGTGCAGGGGTTTGTCCTTCCTCCTTTTGCATCTCTTTCTTGGGTTGCCTGAGATATTCACTGAGCACGCGGTCAGTTGTGGCCATCTTTGTGATGGTAAATGGCCTGCATTTGTATAGCGCTTTACTCAGTCCCTAAGGACCCCAAAGCGCTTTACACTACATTCAGTCATTCACCCATTCACACAAACATTCAAACACTGACAATGGCAAGCTACATTGTAGCCATATTCTCCTCCAGTATTTCTCCATCTCCAGCCTTGGTGGTGTTGTTCTCACATTGTTCCCCCTGCCACTGAGAGTACACCTAGGATTGTTTATTCTCCTGACTTCTGTTTCTCTGGTATACCTCTTGTAGTGTCTGGCCAAGGCTGTATATACATACATACATACATACATACATACATACATACATATATATATATATATATACACATATACACGTGTATGTATGTACGTATACATATACACGTGTATGTATGTACGTATACATATACACGTGTATGTATGTACGTATACATATACACGTGTATGTATGTACGTATATGTACATATATATACGTGTATGTATGTACGTATATGTACATATATATACGTGTATGTATGTATGTACGTATATATACATATATATACGTGTATGTATGTATGTACGTATATATACATATATATACGTGTATGTATGTATGTACTAGAGATGGACCGATCCGATATTACGTATCGGTATCGGTCCGATACT